AATAGAACAATGTCCTTAATCGTCGAAAATTTTTATTTTTTATTTTTATTATCGCTATCGAAAGTTTCTCCTCTATCACACATGTATCATCATTGGGAAAAATCACTGATATCTAGAATGATGGAAGGGATTAATAAATTGATGATTAACAATAATTAATAAAGTGAAAAAAAACAAAGGTTTTTTTTATTTTCAGGTGATTGTCCAGCTGGTTGGTTTCAAGTTGGTAGAGACGAATTTAAATCCTGTTTTCTATATAATGGTGCAGCAACCACTTATATGTCTGCTGTTAAATTTTGTCAGGTAGTTCATTTTTACTAATCACTAAACCTATTAATTAATAATGATGCGTTATTAATGATAAGTAATAATGATAACAACAATAAGAGTGTTATTAATAGTAATATTATTATTAGTAATAATGATAATAATAATAATAATAATAATAATAATAATAATAATAATAATAATAATAATAATAGTAATAATAATAATAATAATTGTATGATTATTATTAATAATTATTAGCAGAATATTTAATGGTGGCAGATATGTTGTCAATTTATTATTTTAAGTGAGATACTTTTCAGTGAAATTATTAGAATTTTGAAATTTGAATAGTCATGGAACTTAGTGATTCAAATGTTCTTTTCTTCATAAGTCATTTCAGATCAGTCCAATAAGTTGATGTGTGATATACGAATTTCAAAATTAAATCATCGTTTCTATGTCTGAAACAATCAATGCAATTCACATTCCTAAAAAGATCTCTTCATTTATTAAAGAATAAGAAATGAATACAATATCATTCCTTATTCTTAAAAGTAGTATATATTCAATGATGAAATAAACTTTTAGAATTGCTAAATTTAATTAATTATATACCGAGAAGAAATAGATAAAACAAATTATGGAAAATAGTAATTATAAAAAGAAAAATGAAGAAATTTTTTCAGGAAATGGATGCATTTGTACCGTATTTACGAGTTGATGACATTAGACAGAAAGAATTGGCAAAACGAATCGATGATATCATACATATGCGAACAAGTGACAGTATCGATCGTTACGATACTTTTACAGTATTTCATTCTTCATTACAAAAGTGTTAAAATACGCTTATCTATTCTTAAATATATTATATTATTTCGAAAAATTCTACTAAACTTCATTCCGACATTTTTAATATATCGTTAAACGTTTTTAACAAAAAATAAGAAGTCGAAATTTTTTAAATTCTTCAAAATCAAAATTTTTCGGCATAACATTGAAATAGCACTATATTAGAATAATACTATAATATCGATCGAAATGATGGATTGATTGAACTCTTTTAGGGTTATTTCTAAAGTTCATTAGCTTCTACACATTTTGATTTCAATTTTGATTCGTTGAAATTTTCTCACTTTTTTTTGTATCCTTCATTCTCTGATTAAATAGTTTTGATTTATTATTTAATTATACAATTTTATTTTTTTATTATTCATTATTGATTAATTTAAAGCAATATTAATTTTTGCTAATAACCAATAATTATTATAAAGGAAATGAATTCTTGAAAGTTATTCGGGAAATTTTTGATTAATTACTATTTCAGAATTAATTTATGATAGATTCATCTAAAAATGAAAGATAATCTTTTATATCATATTTTACTGTAAGATTGATGAGAAAATTAGAAATGTTAATTAATATTATTCAAATGTCATTTTAATTCCTCTATTAAGTATTAGTTTCCAGGATGCATACGATAAACAAATATGGATCTCAGGTGTTACAGTACCATTAACTCAATGTGGTTCATTAAGCACACGCACCGGTAATATTGCTACTCAAAATTGCAATTATTTGCTATCATTTGTGTGTGAAAAAGGTAAGGAATTGTATAAATAGTTTAAATTATTAACTTAAATTAATTTGTAGTGAAATAATATAATTGTTTTATGATTTGAATAGTATAATTAATTAAAATTTAGTAACTTTCGAATTTCTGATCACATTAAATAGTAATAATAATATAAAATAGAAAATTAAAAGCATAATTAATTTGTAATTAAAATCATTCGAAAAACTGAAATTGAAATATGGGATAAGAGAACAAAATTAAAATATAAAAAGTAAATAAAATTATTATAACTTTGAGTAATCTCAAAAAATTGTTACTCATTTGGTAACTTTTCAAAAAGAAAGATAAATAGTAACTATAATGATGGGAGAAATAGTAATTATAATTAATTAAAAGATAAGTAGTAATTGTAAATAATTATAATCAGTTAATCAATTATAGGAATATTATCATACGATGAGCCGACACTTTGGAGAGGTGGTATAATTATTGCTGTAATTGCATTAAGCATACTTGTAGTTATCATTTTATTGCTAGCTATATGTTGGTATAGAAAATCAAGAAAACGGGAAGAAGAAGAAGTAAGCCGGAAAGAATGTATCCGTGCTTCATTAAGACTTAGCAAATTGGCGAATGAATTACGGAAGAACAATGATAGTAATCGAATTATTACTAATGTATATTATTTCATCAAATTTCTTTTTTTCCTTTTGATGCTTCTGTGTTAAAATAAAGCCTAAATTTTACACTTAAATGAAGTATTATTTTTAATTGCTTTAATTTAGTAATTAATTTATTTAATTTAATTAGCTAATTTAATTAATAATTAATTAATTAATTAATTTTTAATTATTTTTAAACTAATATCTTTAATTTTTAATTTTAATAGGCGATAGAATCATGAATTATAATTGTTATCATTATTGTCTTATAATTATTGCTGCTATTTTGATCACTATAATTAAATGTATCATTATTATCATTATTACTATTTATAGATGGCAACAGCTGGAACATTAAATGGTATAGATTTGCAAACGGATGATGCAATCATGAATGCACACCGTAATTTAGTTCATGGAAAAGACAATAATTCATGGTCAACATTAACAAAAACTGATTTATCAACCGAAATATATTCAGGAAGTAATTCTGTTACTTCATTTATTGATCAAAGTGTCAAATATCGTCCATCTGGTGTAGAATTAAGCAAAATAAATTCTACTATTGATTCATCATATTCTGGAAATACTACTGAAACTTTTACATCTCATATGCCATCATCAACTTCCAGGTAACATTCATTTACAATTTTTTTAAATTATTTATAAAAGTCTTTTTTCTGATTTATTCAATTAATATTATTGTTTATGATAGTGATAATTATTTTGTCTCAATCAATGATAGCATTAAATTTAAATTTAAAAGAAATTTGATAACAAATTGAAATATATTTTAAATTATATAATACTTCTTCTCTTATTCAATAATTTCAGAAATTTGGTATCACAGAAGCCAAATCCATATGCTGAGGTATCATTAAGTGTATTTAATGCTTACGGATCAATTAATGACCGTGCAGCTAGCAATAATGACCGATCAATGATCGATCGGCATAATACAGATGCATCAACGTGTAGCACAAATACTGATACAGTCACATGTTCAACATGTCAAGATTGTGGTGAATCAACACTTACAGAACGATCATCGTGGAATGATTCAAGTAGTGCTCAATCATCGATCATTTCTGATCGAACTATTCAACAATTGGTAGAAATATTTTTTTTCTTCATTTTTAACTTTTAAATTATTTAGCTTGCTTATGTAATCTGTTATAAACTTCTCTTTTGAAATTTAATTTTTGAAGGGTAATTATAGATAAGACTAGAGGGAAATGAAAATACTTAAGCATATTAGTTTAATTTCTAAACTTTTGATTTTATAATGATAATAAATATATTTGTATTTAAAATAATTGAAATACTAGAAATGAATTATCAAGCTATAAAATAATCGATTAATTTTTGTAAATTTTGTTAGAAAAATATATTAATTCAGCTGAAAGAGTTATTTTTATATTTTCAGGTCAAACCACTTCTTAATCGATCAGAGCAATTAATAACAAAATCAATGACAGGAGAAGATACGTTACGTCTGGTACCCAATACTTTTGATTCACGTTTACGATCTTATACTTATAGTAAGTTAATAGACATTTCACAACCATCATTATTTGTTCCAAAATTGCAGAAGAGTAAATTAATCTTTTAATTATCCATTTTGAAATTTGATAAATCATTATTTGAAAAAATGATCGAATATTTTATGAAAATTATATTTCATTTTTTGTAATTTTTAATTATTTTATATTTGAAGATCATGGAACTTCGTCGGTTACATCAGATGAAACAAATGATGAAATACCGCTTAGACCAATACGTATCGCACCACCGCCACCATCAACACCATCATCACCATGTATTGTTACCTCAATGAATGAGCAACTTCATGTCCCATTAAAAATTCCCACTATTTCATCACCACCACGACGTTCATTGTATGAAACTACAACAGAATTAGTGAAAAATAGCCATCCTTATAGTAGTTCATCTTCATATCGGACTAAAATTCGTCCTTCTATACCACCACCAAATCCACCAGAGTATATCCGAAATCCTCAATCAAGCCAATCGCTTGTTGATCTCATTAATCCATCGTCATTACACTATCAACGTAGTAATTCAACCGGTAAAGCATTACCCATCGAAACATCGATGTAATTTTCTCGTTTTTTTTTTCCCAGCAATTATATTGGTAAACTTACGGTTTTCACGTAACGTATATTTCGTGAATACGTAATATCATATTTCCTTTTTGTTTTTGCGGGTTTCTTTTTCATTTCCAAATTTATTCATATGATTCATTCGTTCTTTTCTAATGTTATCATAATTTGCTTGTCAAATTATTTTATTCGTTATTTGCTTCTCAAATGTAATCTCAAATGATTGATCGATAGGAATAATGTAAATAAAATGGAACAGAATAGAAATTAGCCTCATGTTTAAACTCTTATCTTCTATTTTGAAAATCATTGATACGTACGTGTCATATATTACTCATCCATAATACGTACGTATAAAATGCATAGCAATATATTTCCGACAACTCGATACTATTAAACTGTTAATTCATCCCTTTCAAATTTTTATTTTACAACAATTGATTTTCAGAAATTTACATTTTTCACGTAACATACTTTTTGTTGATTTTTGATCAAAATTGATAGCTATTGTGATATTAACATATCATACATTATATGATACATAAAGGAAATATAATTTGTTAATTCATTCCATTCTAATTTTCGTAAATTTAAATTTCTTATTGAATATACTTTTCTGAATTGCTAACTTACATATAATATTTTTTTTGATGTCTATTTTCTGTTAAAATTTGATATAATACAATATGCTATGTTTCATTTTGCTCATTGATTTTATTATGAATTTTCCTGTGAAAAGCGAACTTTCTTTGTTACAGCTCAATTGTGCATTTGACTTGTTTTTCTATTCTTTTATTTTTGCAAACTAAATTTCATTTCAAATTGACATTGATAACAATGTGTATAACATTCCTCTTCTTCACATGCTATAATAATCGAACGAACTTATTTGTCTCATTTTTAAAAAAATTAGAAATAGACATCTGGGATCAAAGATTTCATGTTAACTACATCATAATAGTACATCACGTTTGCAAGCTATGTAGCAATTTTGGATTCATTTTTGTCTACTGAACATGTGATTGGCCAATGTTGCCATAATTGGTGCGGAGATGGGGGCATCTAGTAGCGGAATTCCCCGGGGCATCGTAGTTTGAATTCTCAGTAAAAGAAGATGGGAAAAAGCAGAAAAAAAGTTGTAGTCGCTGATTACGCATGAGAAAAAGTATTTCGGCATTTTCTCACAATTTTTTCTTGTGATCAATGATTTTTGATTGATAGACCAAATAGCCGAGCTTAGCTTGACGTGTATTGTTAGGCGCTTACATCTTTACACGTTTCATTTATTTTTTCACGATACATTTATCCTCCTCACGTTTGCAAATACACTTTGTACTGTGTAAACTAAGTCGTTGAACAAGTTATAACAAAATTATTATAGCTTCCGTTTTTCATTGTTAGCAGCAATATCAAAACATTTCAGTTATGGTCCTTTTTATCATAGTATTGTTATCGATGAATGAAAAAGGAAGAGTCAGAAAATTGGAAAGTGTCCGATGATAAACATGTAAATGATATCTAATAACAAAAATTCTGTCATCCGTTAGTACTAATTAATATCCCTGCTTTTTACCCTGTAATTTATTATAACGATATGCTATCTGCATGATCATCATGTACTACGGAAAAAAATTTGATTTGCTTACACTGTTTAAAAGTGTTCGGTAAAATCATTCTCTGATTGGATATCAGCATATTATTAAGGATAAATGATTCTGGAAATGTCCATAAGCGCGAAATTGAAGATTGATAAAGATAAAACCAAGTGTTAAATTGGTTCAAATTGATTCAGGAATTCATATTGTAGAAAATGTACACACTTTTCAAGTTATTCCGACTTGGCAATCAAGTGCAGCATTAACCGAGAAATCAGAACAAGAATTGCTGGAATAACAATTAAAGCAGGCAGTGTTTCTGTTAATATTACTAATGAAAATATTAGATCACAAATATCTTCAAAATCCAAGTAGATTTTCATATTTCCAAATTTACGCTTTGCTTTTATTAACCAAATATTTTTCCTATATGAGATTCCTTATTTCCAGCTGATGTTACTATTTCATTGTATTTTTTTCCTTATTTCCATAATTCTATTTCATTTTTATCTGATGAATTGTTAACAGTAGAAAATTAGGTTAATGAATTTTTCTAGCGAACAAAATTGCTACAATAAGATTTGCTTAATCTTTTTCTAAAAATTTCTTTTTTAATCTACAATCTTTGGATTTAATCGAAAATTATAAGATGAAGAAGTTGCCGATTAATTAATTAAAATAATATCATTTAATTAGAAATTTTCCAATCACTAAACAGTATAATTTACTCGAAAAATTTCCGGAAGATATGTAAAAATATTTCTGAGGAGGAAAAAATTTTTTTTAGTAAAAAGAAAATTTCGATACCTTTTGAGATTGCATTGCAGTAAGTGCAATTTTTCGTTTTCTTTTTTTTAATTTCCAAATTCAAAGATTACATCATGGATTGACTTTTAACAAATGTGATGATGTTATTTTATTGTTTAGGAAATAAATTTCTAATTGAAAATTTCTCTACTATTTGTTTTTCGTTTATTCTTCATACTATATATTTATTTTTACTCTTTCTATTAACTTCAATATGGAATATATGCTTTTCTAAGTGATATTATCACTAACATATACATTATATGCTTTTCTAAGTTATATTATCACTAACTTATACATCTTCGTTGTTAATACACTTTATGTTGATAATATGAGAGTTCCAATCGTAGCAACGTTTTTCATTTTGACCTCTATGGATAAAAGGATAGATAGATAAATCGATGAATAATAAATGAATGAATAAATAGGTAGAAGATGGATAGGTGGATAGATGAAGAGATGGATAAAAGGGGATGAGAGCTAAACTATAGAATTAGTAAGTACTTATCTTTCCCAAACTGTATCATTTCTTTTTTAAATCGATATAGATCTCTTCAAAAATGTTGTTGTATGTATTTGCTTAGTGATATTGGAAAGCACATATACTTACACACACACACACCTATGTACATACGTGTACGTATGTACAAGTATATACGCACATACAGACATGTGAAAGATATGTGTCATGATGTGGTAGAGGTTAAGGGATAAAGGTTAAGGGATAAAATGATTCAGATAGCTATTTGAAAGTGTGGAGTATTAGCAATGATAATCATTTGATAGTTTGTAGAATGGATATTATTGATTTTAAATTTTAAAAAATAGAATTAAAGAAAGCATGTATTGTAGATGATAGCATTTTGTTGGATTAAATTAAATCAGTGTTATATAAGATATCTTTAATTTTCCAATTCCTTCATGTAAAATTTAAAGGAAAAAAAGGTTTCATTTTTGCATAATGAAAATAATATTTCTTAATTTAATTAATTGATATCATATCATTTAATAATAATAGACTTACATTAAACTTTTTATTTGATAAGAATTTTAATGAATAATTGTTTTATTGAAGGTGATATTTTTTCTTTGATAACATTTTGCTATTTGCCATTCGATGGTAGAAATATTGAAAAGAAATATAGCAATAGATGGAAGAGGAGTAATTGATCAATGATATTGCAATGATAAGAAGTGATAATGGTTAGTAGTGGATATAAGAGAATAGTTTTTCTTTTTTTATCTTAACGATTAATCGTTTCTCTCATATCAGTCTTTCAATCTCTTCTTATTATATATAAATTATATGTAAAATTTAGGTGGTATATATCTTCCTCATATCAATCTCTTCCTGTAATATACATATATATTATATTTAAAACTTAGGTGATGTATGTCTTACCACTTTTTATCGTAATAATCACTAAATCGTTTTCATTTTCATTTGCATTAAATAATCAAAGATCAAGAATGAGTAATTTGATCATACATCAAAGAATGAATAATTTTTGTTGATATAAAAATTTAACGAAAAATGCATGATACATTAATTTGTGTTTCATTTACTGTAATCACACGGTATTATTCTTATGTATTTAATAATGAGAACCAAAATAAATGATTTATAATAGAAAAGATTTATGATATTTAATCTGATATTATGTATGATATAGTATTAATGAAATAATGTTAATTTATTATTGAAATTCGTCAATTCCATCATTAAGAATACAAAAAATGACTGTCATCATTTTTAAGTATGAATAATTCATTAAATTTTGAATGTGAAAACTTAGCAGATAAATGAAGAAATACATTTGTGATATAATATCAGTGATTGATAAGGGTTGAAAATTGTTAACTGATTATGCTAACTTTTGAAAAATGCTTAATTTTTAAAAAGTTAATTTAAATTTCATATTCGGTTTCTAATAATAAATAAATTTTGAAAAATATAGATTAAAAGTAAAAGAGAATTAATAAAAAATAAGTATAATAAAGGTTAATTAAATTAATTAATTAAAAATAAGTATAATAAAAGACGAATAATTCAAAAAAATCCTATAAGGAAAGAAAAAGGAAAAGAAAAAAGGGATTAATGTATGATTAGTATAATATAATAATATAACTTATATATTATATAGTATAACTTATGATATAATTTACTGCTGTACAAATAATTTTCCGGAAACTTTTTCTTCTTTTTCTGTCTAATTTTCTCCAAATTTCGAAATTAAAACTTACAAAAAAATAGTTTTTTTTGATTTTCCGGAATAATTGTTTCCGGAAAATTATTTGTAAAAACGATAAATTAGTAATTTATGAAACCATCTGGAATAAGTTGATACTAAAGGTTTTATTTTAATACTTTAATTTAGTAGGTAAGTTTGAAAGTTATGCTGCAAAAAATATTAGGTTTTTTCGTAGTAAAACATAAATTGTAAAAAATTTAGAATATCTTGATAACGAATACTTTAACATTTCATTAACCTTATCGTATTAAGATTATCATAAAATAATTCGTTCATCGTATTTGTCGTCATTCATTTATTAGCGTTATCATTTAATCACTTGATAAAAAATGCTTTAATATTTC